TCATCTCTTATTGGTTCTGGGGTATCTTCTTCGTCGCTACTATTTGATACTAGAAGCTTTTCAAAATGCTTCCTTCCAGATCCTCAACACGCTATCTGTATTTATCACCAGGTTTCCATCTTCCTCTCGACAGGAGGATGTGCCTGCACAAAAGCCTTCGGTTTGGTGTTTTACTCGTTGGTAAAATTTCTGGACTTCGTTCTGACTCCCGCACATTTCGATTTGCCCACGCTCAGCTTTTTTTTCTTTTCTCTGAAAATACGTTTCTCGGCTCTCCTTTTCTCCCGATAATTCTCCATCGCATTACGTGATATTACTGTCTGCAGGGTTGCCCTACACGCGTTTTTCGCATTACGTAGCATTATGACACTCCTGATCGTACCACAGGTTTCTTGATGTTGTTTTTTTAGCAGCCCTATTGCTTTGCACAATGGGCTGAGGTGACAGACGTTGACCGAGTAAGACTCGGGTCGTTTCCGATCGTAGACCCCTATGTCGTGGAAACGACGTTTTTCTTGATGGAGGTTTTTGGTACCCAAGTGTTGCTTTTGCTGAAGTTTGCAGAGACTGGATAATTATTTGCCATTGTGCTTCTATATTATTATAATCGGGACAAGGAGTGCTTTCGTCAAGCAGGTGTGCAAGTTGAGCGGAGTAGGCTTCTATTATCTGTTGTGTTTGCAGCTTTTCGACGTCGAGTTTCCGTGTTACTTTACATCGCACTTTGCTGCTACATTAAGACGGGTGCGAAGCTTGGCTGTCACAAGGTAATGTTCCGAATCGATATTCGCTCCTCGTATGATCAACATGATCAATATGATTTCTCGATGCTTGATCAGGAGAAATCCAGGTGGCCTTGTGTATATCGAGATGCTTGAATCTGGTGTTGCTAAGGACCATGTTTTTTTCTGCGGCGAAGTCAATCAATCTCATGCCTTTGTCGGATGTTTCTTCATGGAGACTGAATTTTCCCACGGTGGGACCAAAAATATTTTCCCTTTAGATTTTTGCATTAAAATCATCTAGCAGAATTTTAATGTCATGGCCAGGGCAACGTTAATATGCTGTTTTAGGCGCTCGTCAAATATGTCTGTTCATCTTTATCTTCGGTCGGAGCATGGGCGCAAATGAAATTAAATTAAATTATCTACTGGAATGAATCTGGAGACGAGGTCTTTTATTCTACTATTAACCATAAATCCGCAGCCAAATTCACGTATCCTTTCATGACAGCTATAATACAGAGCGTAATCATCTGATTTTCTTACGCCAGTCCCTTTCCATCGCATTTCCTGTAAGGCAATAATATGGGCTTTGCACTTCCTGAGTATATCCGCCACAGCGAGTCGTTACTCGTCAATCAGAGCCGCTGCTTGGTATCTATAATCCCCTACGTCACCCATCGGGGAGAGTTAGATGCCTGTAATTTATAAGTGGATTTGTCTACAACAATTGGACTACTTTTATTGTACTTCTTGCTGGTTTATATTAGGCTTTAGTCATACTTCTTAATCGGATTTGAATATTTGGGAAGCCTCGTAGTAAAAAGTCAGCTTAGGCCCTTTGTAACCGCACCATCTGATTTTCGTTATTTTTATGACAATTTCTTAACACTGTTCATTGAAAAACAAAAAAACAGACGAACCGCCCACTCCTCCTAAACATCACGAATGCATGAAAGTGATGCCATTCACGTGTGATGAGGAAAAGGATATGTCCAAACAATTCATTCATTCATGGGACGGAGGGCGGTAGCGAAGACATGACTTGTTTAAACAATTTTATAATTTGCACAAAGGCATAAACAATTGACTCAGCATCATTTCTAAAAATGAAAATCTCTCTGTTACAATGGTATCAGCAGCTACAATAAAGACAACAATTCGGCCAAATTATTGTTGTCGTTGCCGGTTAGCGGCTGAATGCAGCAGGAATCTACAAACATGTACTTTCATACATGTACCATGTATGAAATTGTTTTAACGCCAAACGATTTGCCACTCATATGAATTGCCCGCTGCCTGCCTGCCAACACTTGTTTTTGTTTTTGTTGCATAATTACCGGTGATGTTATGTAGTCGTTGTTGTCGAATAGCTGCTGTCATATGTTGACTGCTTGTTTTGGTACTGGAACTATTTTACCTGATGTCGTGGAATAAACACTTATGTTTCTGTGGCTTTTCTCGTCCCGATTTGTTTTTTGTTCCTCCTCTAGAGTTTGTCTGCAGGTTATCAGGAATATTCAATTAAGATATTCGAAGTCATTCGAAAACCACCAGCAACGTCATTTATACAAATGTCATATATCAGTTTTATGTAATGCCATAATTATCCTTGCTGGGCATATTGTTTTCGGTTTGCTTGCTAATGGGTCTAAACAAGGAGATTACATATATGCATAGGTGTTAAAATCAAATCATGCTGTGATTAGGTAGCTGGTAATTGCATTGACGTTTAACGTAACACAAGATTTACCAAAATGTCTATGACTCCCGTAGACTTGAATTAAATTGAATTAAAACCTAATTTGGGTATCTTTATTACCCTCTGTACTCTTGTAATACATATTTTGAAAACAGTTTCCAAATTTCAAATTTAGTAATAGGTACGAATTTCCAAAACTTCCCACATACTCCAAATTTCAGGATTCTATCGGTTCACCTTAATTCAATTTGTATCAGATTTAGTTTTCATAAAATTTCAATTACTACTGGCATCATGCAATCCAATGAAACTTTTATTACCCAATTTCAGAATTTCAGCTCTATCGGTTCACTTTTAATCCTAATTGTACCAAATTTAGTGTCATTTAGCACACATTAGTAGACAATTCCAAAACTTCCTACATGAAGATTCCAGGTCTATTGGTTCACCCAAATCCAAATTTGTAAGAGTTTCCAAAATATTCTTCATAGCCCAATCCTACACCCCAACAGTGATCCTAACTTCAAGGATCCCAGTTCGCCCAAAATTCAAATTGTAACAAATTTAGCACTCCTAAGAATGAATTTCCAAAAACCACTTTCATTCCCAATTTTTCACTCCAACAGTAATCTGACTTCCAAATTTCAGCGTTCCAACTCCATCGGTTCACCCAAATCCACATTTAGTACAAATTTCCATAACTTTTACAAAACCCAATCCTAAACCCCAACAATGATCCTAACTCCAAATTTCAGGATACCAGCTCTATCGGTTCACCCAATTCAAATTTGGTACGATTTCCTACATACCTCTATCCTACACACCAAAAATGTTCCTAACTCCAAATTTCAGGATACCAGCTCTTTTGGTTCATCCAAATGGTACCAATTATGGTACGATTTAGTACTTTCCGTGCACATAAGTAAAAATATTCCAAAACTACGTACATATTCCAATCCAACCAGGGACGGACGCAGAGGGGGGCCGGGCCCACATTTAGTACTTTACGTTCCGTTCTAGTACGAATTTTCAAAACACCCAGCTTATCTGACCCCTTTGGATCAGGAGTGATCCTCACTCCAAATTTCACGATTCTAGCTCTAGCAGTCTGGGCGTTGATGAATCGTTAAATCAGTCAGTCAGTGAATCAGTCCGTCAATCACTTTACATTTTTATTAGTATAGGTTGACCCAGAGGAGAGAGCAGACGAGTCCCATACCTTGATTTGATCTAGGCTTTGTAAAGATAATAGCTTGTACAAGGTTCGCTTCAAATCTAACATTCCATTCGCCTGCTATTGCATTTATAAATAAAAAAATTTGTCCCTTTTTGAGAGAGATACCAGAATTAGTGGACCAATCGGTCCCATCGGCGGACTTGGTCTAGGTTGGGTAAAGACAATAGGTTGTACAATGTTTGGTTCAAATAGGATATTCCATTCGCCTGATGTTGTATTTATAAATATTGAAAATGTTGTTCCTACGCATGATATTATAAAATTAATTTTTTGCAACATTTTGACCATTTTGTGGGGGAGTTATTAGAACGAGTGGACCGATATTCCCCATCTCCGAACTTGAACTAACTTTGGAAAAAAATTTTAAGATGTACAAAATTTGAATGAAATCAGTTACCCCCTTCGAGAGTTATCGTGCGCACCAGCCGGCCAGACGGACGGACATTTTTAAATCGACTTTAAATTTTCTAAAACGGATTTGGTTCAAAGAAACATGGAGTCTAAACCCAATATTTCGATGAGGAACATTTTCTCCGTATCAAAGTGTATATACCCTCATTAGTATAAAAAGTTAATTTTTCAAGACCCATAATACCTCCCACATACCAAATCTTGGTCCGATATATCCAGTTTTTCGTCACTTATTTTATAGGCCTGATTAGACGTAAATAGTAATTTTTTGTCGAATTTGGTAGATTATTAGATTATATAGATATAGATTATTTTTAGGTCAAAAGTGTAAACCTTTCAAGACCCCTTTATATGGGAGTTATACCAAACCTTAGTCCGATATATCCAGCTTTTTGTCACTTGCGTTTTAGGCCAATAATAAGCACTTATTCAAAATTTCATCCATATTCAATGACCTCATCTATTTTTGACGGCTGTTAATATGAGATCGCAACATGGTGCACGTTACCTGTCTTCAATCTAATGTTCTATAATTTTCCCGCAATTTGAAAATCGAAGAAAATTCAAATCTAGAAGGGGAGATTCCATTAACACAACGCTGATTAAAAAAAAATTATTAATTCCATTTATAAGTCGCACTGACACCTATAAAGTGTGGCTTTACTATTCATGTACAGATAACAACAACAAACAATCAATTTACATAAATATTAAATGACTTCAAGTAAAACAAACTGTTAAAGTAAACTGGTTTTTATTTCCATTGAAAAAATAAAAATAAAAAAAACGGCATTATTAAAATACACGAAACAAAACATGCATAAATAAAGCCGCTGTTGGTGAACAAATAATCACGTAGCGAATGCCCTTCGGTTGAAAGATGATCGGCAATTTGTCACCAACAACGGTTCAACGCCTACCGCCACATTCAATTAGGAACGCACACATTTGGGTCTCTTAGTGGAGCGATCCGATTCACACTTTTCGAATGAACTACATTTGACATTGCCACAGTACGAGCCACCACCAGTTCCAGCTGAAGGAGCAGAGAGTGGGGAGAGAAGTAATGAAAATTTAAATTTGAAATATAATCGATGACATTTTTTTGTCGCTCAGGGTCAGACATCACTTACAGTTCTTGCTGGAGAATGGAGAAGTGTCACGGCTGCCAGAGTTACTTAGGAGATTTGGTTGGACACAAGAGCGTCCATTGCACAAATTGGGACAACATTTGCCGCCAATGGCACTGCATTCCGAGTCATGCAAACATTTGGGGGTACATGTTTGGACCTTGGTGGATGAAGGACAATCTGACGGAGAAACAAAAGCAAATAGATGTGAAATGTATTCAGTGGTTTCGAGATTACGGTCAAACATGTATGACCCTAACAAAAAAAAAAAACTTACCGCCTGCAGCCAAGGACATTGCCACCAAACATAGGGCGAACAGAGTGAATAAAAGAGTTTTATTGGCTGTGTAAGAAATGTATGATTAAGTTTTGGGGTCATTTAATAATTTACTTGTAAGAACACAAACGTACGTACCCATTGCGATTTTTGTCTTCTAGACTTCGGAGCACACTTCCACACTTGTTTACACGTTCAATATTTAAATCAAACTGAAAGCTTAATTGTTTCGAACAGCAAAAGGCCAAGTGGTCGGCAGATCGATGATGTTTTTGTTTGTTTGGCGTCGTGAGTTTTGTTTTTGTTAATAAGGAGAGAAAAAGATGATCACATCGTTAATGTAGAGTTGCCAGATGATTCAATTTTTTTGGTATAAGGGTTTATAGTACAAAAGCAAGAACAATAAGGACGAACCGATTTTTTATGATCTACACCCATAAATTAAATTCAAATATTTAGGCAGTTCGAAAACATTCATGTTTAATAACTAAGAGGGTCAATTTGGTTGCAAAATGTGACTATAATATTTAGGGGCCCACAATCTATACCGATACCCTATAGTGGACGTCGCAGAATGTTCACCGACGCCGATGCACGACATATTTAAAGACTGATGACAAAAAAGAAACAAAAATACTAAAACTAGCAGCAAAATCAATTAATAAAAGCGTAAGTGAATGGATGATTAGAAGGGCATTGAGAAGAATTGGGCTAGTTTCGGCAGTTATGAAGAAAAAGCCTGCTATGTCAACCAAGAACGTAAAGGCACGCCTACAAATTTGTAAAGAGTATGGTAACTGGAATGTGGATGACTGGAAACGCGTTATATGGTCGGACGAAACAAAGGTAATTGATTTTAATCGGATGGTAATCGATTTCAATCGTCCACACGAAAAAGAGTCATCATGTGGTGGTTCAATGATGTGGGGATGTTTCACATGGGAGAATGTTGGTCCTTTGGTAAAAATATGCGGAGTAATGAAAAAGGAAGATTATTTAAGTATTCTTCAGATAAACTTGCTAGATTTTTTAGAAAAATGTCCATACCCAGAAGAGTTTCCAGAAGGGTGGAGTTCCGAACCACAAAAATTGTTAAAAATTGGTTTGTAAATCAAAATTTTCAATTGATAAAGTATTAGAATAAAATAAGTTTATGTTAGCATTAAATATATGGGTTTAACAAACAATTACCTTCTTAAATATAGTTACGTTATAAAATATAATAAACAAGTTATAAACCAAATACAATATTATGTCGTTTCCTTTTTTTATGAAAAAAATATAAAGTAATATTAAGAAAAAAGCAACATTCATACACTTTTGCTCACCACTGTATATATGTTTACCGTTGTATGACCTTTAGGATGTGGTGTTTAAAAAATTTAAATTTGGCACGACCTATTTGTCACATTTGAAAGACTAAGTTTTCGTCTTGTGCATTCTATAAATGGACACACATTTGCCTTCGATTCGAACGAACTCTGCAAAGTAATGTAGGGTTTAATTGAATCGACCTAAACGCCAACAATGTAGGCGTCATATATGCGTTCATATTTAGTTGGAGGTCTATAAAACCGGATTGTTTAATTGTATCTTTATACAAAACAGCAGCAACAACAACTATATAACATATCAAACTCACACTCATCCATAAGAAACTAGATTTTTTTTTGCGATCAGACATTAAATTCAATATTCATAAAAACGTGATGAGCGATTTTTTCTTCTTCTCCTTCTTCATCTCACAACAGCAAATTATAATTATTAAATTTAGAGATTAAACAGGCAAGGATCGGCGATAACCGGTGCATGTCACTCCTACTGAACCTGAAGTCATTTGCCAGCTATGTTCGTATGTTACACGACACATTCTCATGCTACTCAGCCAATGTGGTTGGTTGGTTGGCCTTTGCAATTTGAATTTTTGATTTCTTTATTTCGTTGCATTGAAAAAAGTGGGCGATGTCAGGTATCACACCTTTTATTTGCACTTGACAAAAATCGAAAAATCAAAACAATCACCTAGAAAATGACATCTTGTGTGGCTGATGGGATATGCTTTCTATTAATTAACAACTTAAGATAAAAGCAAACGTGGTATTCGATCGATGCATTTGAAAGAGAGCCTCAAGTAGAAAAGGCGAATTGCGAGAAAATGTCTTAATAAAATTAACTGGTAGTGTTGAATCAATTTTGAATCCTGTCCAGCGATAAATGTACAATAAAAACAAATGGAAATCCAACGTAATCCATAAGAAATAATTAATTATATATGTAGAAAATCGACTTGTTTCTAGACTAAAGTTTGTTATTAGAAAATCTTTTGAATTCAGAATGATTTCCTATAAATCTTCTATCTTAAGACATTTTCCATAGAATACCTATGAGACACCTTCTACAGGGTGGCCCAAAAAGGGCTGAAGGATTGAAAATAACTGTGTTTTTGTTTATATTTTTTATTGATTTTTTTATGTTTTTAAATATTTAATTCATGGAAATTTTTTACATTTAAGTGTAAAATATAACATCTCTCAAATGGTTTTCATTTTCTTGCAAACAAAAATTGGCTCTTTTAACCGCATTTCCAGGGTTTCTGGTTCCAAGATGCTTATTTCTGCTTGAATGTTGTGCTTAAGCTCTTGAACTTTTCGGGGTTTATTGATATACACAACTCCCTTCAAATAGCCCCACAAAAAAGTCTGGAGCGTTCAAATCTGGTGAACGTGAATTTTATCCGGATTCATTGCGCACAGATCGACCTCTTCCTGGAAGATATAATCATGTTGTGGCGGGGTGCTGTTAGGACATTAAAATGGCAACGATAATTTATTGAGTTGTAATAACTGACCTTCCACAAGAATAAAAAATTCAATGATTTCGACGCGCTTCTGCACATCATGATTTATCTCCAAAAACCATAAAATAACATGCAAAAGACAAAACAAAAAATTATTGAAAACAAAAAAGATATAACCACTTTTAATACTTCAGCCTTTTTTTGGCCACCCTGTATGAATAACAGTCATTGGAGTTGACTTAGTAAGTTATGGTATGTAAAGAAGACCTATAGCTCATATTACACCGTGAGACAAAATCGAGGTCATGATCTGCGGTATGAAAAATTCCTATTGGGCATAAAAGACCTTAGTGAGTATATAAAAAAACACCAAAGAGAAATCAGTAAGGAAAGTAGTAAAGTCGGACGGGGCGGAATATATGAAATTGGCTGAACTAAAATATGTGATTTTTATCTAAATGTGTGCGGAGTTAGTTCAATCCTTAAACGTGTAATTTTGCAACCTATACTAACTTTAATTTGGACAGATATAGAGTCGTTTGTTACAATGGGACAACATTATTGGTATGTTTCAGTAATTTTTTAATAGTAAATCTAGTAAAAGGGAAAACATTTCAAAATTGCTCTCAGAGTACAAAATAATTTGAAAAGTTTGGGAACGCAAATCTAGTAAATATGCCAAAATTAGATGGCAATACTTCAAAATCAACATAACAGCGATTCAGAAGTAGGCATTCCTGTTTACCATTTTTACTCGACCAAATTTCTCGAGTAAAAAGTTTACAAAGAGAACGTCATTTTGTTTTGTGCTCTCTTAAATTTGAGTCAATGTTTTACCAGTTTTGTGGCTTGAGGAACGGCTTATGTAAATCGACCCAAAGCAGATCTCAATCGGATACCCCTTATTAACATGAAGCCGGTCGAAAATATATATGGACTATGCCGGCATTTCTACAAAACGGAATTATGCCATTCTATGTTAAATTTTTATACGTTGTGGAAAATTTCGTGTCAATCTGACAAACATGACGAGTTTGGTGCACCATAATTGGACGAATATATATATATATATACAAAACAATGTCGCGTTATTTCCATGAATATTTGATAAAAACTTCTTTGTTAAACTAAACGCTTTAAAAAACAACACACCATAACAAATTACTTCCAAAATATCTGACATCGGATGAGGCGTTGTATGGCCGATTTGAGGAAAAAAATAGGCTTTTTTGTTTTCGTGGTACATCCATGATTTTTGGTACACATATAGAGAAAAATTTCCTGACCCCGAAACCGTTCGCAATCAAATTTTTGGTTGATGCGAGCAAAAGTTATCGAGGTTTTAAATTTGGGCATAAGAAAAAAATTTTAAAATTAAAATAAAACTATATTATGAAATATACATTTTAAATTGCGTCTAAATCGCGTAATCCTTAAAATCATTTCATGCGCATGTTGTTTCTATGAAATACTAAAGGTTATCTTCCAATCCATGCATATTTTGCGAAATTTTATTTGACGGCTAAGATGTACTACACGTTGCATTGAAGTACCCAAAAACTCGTAAAACGCGAAAAATTTCCGAAAACTCCATATGCCATTAACGCGCATCCAATTTCGGTGTGCACCCTAAAAAAATACATCGATTATATATATTTCAATGGGGTCCGTTAAGAACCATGGATGACCCAGCTCACACTATTTTTTTGAGATAAATTGGGTACATCTCTCTTTCGGCTAAAGTTTTAAAAGTTCTGTTTTCGAAAAAGATCAAAATTCGTGTCAGGTCACGAAAATGCAATTAAATCCGCGATATTTTCAAAAACATGTTTTTCCAAATTTCGTGGTTTTGGAAGACCAGTTCCCGCCGTTCTAGTGGAGGGATTTTCACGAAGAAGATTTTATATCATCCGAAACGTAAAAAAACTTACTGATCGCGGGTACCCATATCATTCAGTTGACAGATCTAAACATTTGGCCCGAAAAAATGGTTTTTTAGAAATTTGATCGCACAAAATGTTCGCTTTCCGATGAATATTACTTTGAAGCTGTGCAAACTACATACACAAAATACATATCAAAATACTCAGATTCGCGACTACAATTATCTTATAATCGATTTTTAGAAATTCCTGTTTGCGTATTAAAGCGAACTTCAAAATGTCAGCATCATTTAAAGGTAGATGCAGTTAAAATTTTGACTACACTAACTTCAGTACGTTGTGCAATATTTTGTGGGAATCGGCCTAACTTTGGGTCTTTGGTGCACCATTTACTTAAAAACGGACGAAACTTTATATGAGATCTATATCTAAATATGTAACTATTTCAAGGAAACTTGACAA